CACTTCAACAACAATGAATAATATTACCTGAGGGTAAAACATTGGAAAAGTATTCCTAACAAATGGACATACAAAATAAGCTCTTGTCATCAGTTTAATTCCTAACAAAAGAGACCTCAAACCTCAAGAAATTAGAAGATATAGGAAGGGCACTACACTACCAAGTGACAAAAAATCCACTAAGAAGACATTGCAATTGTTTTTCAAGACAGGACTTCTCTGTGTACCTTTGGAACTAGTCCTCAAACTTGCTCTGTAGACCAGACCAACCTTGAACTCAGAGATCCACCTGCATCTGCCTCCTGAACACTGGAATCAAAGGTGTGCCCTGCCACCACCACCACCAACTGACAACATTGCAATTCTTAGCATCTGTGCACCAAACACAAATTTATAAAAGAAATGCTACTGTAGCTTAAGTCACATATTTATCCACACACCCATTTAGTGGGAGACTTCCATACTCTACTCTCATCAATAGACAGGTCATCCAGGCACATAAACAGAAAAATATTGTACTTAGAAGATGTTATAAAACAAATAGACTGAACAGATACTTGCAGAACATTTCAGTCAAAGACAAAAGAATATACTTTCTTTTTAGCATCTCATGCCACTTTCTCCAAAATTGACCACATACTTTGACAGAAAGCCAGATCAACAGATACAATAAATTTAAAGTAACTCCCTGCTTCCTAACAGACCACAATAGAACAAAGGTAGACATCATCAACAAGAAACTAAAATGAGATTTTTTAATGGATTGAATTACAAATCTCATGATAGAAGCTTCAGTGTTACCCAGAAAGTCATGTCGTACAATTCTTGGTTGTTATATCTCTATTTGCATGTGTTCATTGCAAAGAATCCTTGTTCAGCTTCAAGGCCCTTGGTTCCACTACATTTTTGATGCTGAGGACTCCACTAGGAATCTTTCTGGACATCCTACTGCCAATCTGTGTTCGGGTATGAGGATCACATTAACTTATATACTCCATCAGACCATAGATGGGGTGGTTGTTGGGGAAAGCCAAGTCATAATCCTGGGTCTGGGCCTGGGCCTGGGCAAGTGTAGGCTTCATTCAGTGCAGCTGTGTGAAGCTTACCTACACTTTCTCTAAGAGGATTGGATCTGTTGTGCTGCCTGGTATAGTGCAGGGCCTGCTATCCCAGGTCTTGTGGCTGGCCCTCTCTCATCAATCACTAATAAAGGCAATGTCCTTCACCTGGTGTCAACTTGATATGAAACTATCCAGCACAGAAGGTATAAAAACTGGAGGATCAAAGCAGGGCTAGGTGAGTCTCTGTGAATTTCTGGCCATCTACGCCTGTAAAATGAATTCCAGGACAGCCAGACATGTTACAATGGAAACCCAATTTTGAACAATCTCCAAAATCAAAAGCAGCTGGGAGGATCCTGGACGGAGAAGATATTTAAGGTCAGGTCCTTGAAGTAAAGCTTCAGTCACAAGAAGTGTACTGGACAAGTTGGGAGAACCTTGTGAAATCCAGAGTGAGTTGGTAACTAAAGCTCCTATATAGATTGTAGGAAGGTAAACTTGGTCTTGCCTGCCCCAGGGTGCCTTCATTTCCCTGTTAGAGACTGGGGGTACCAGCCGAAAGAGAGAGGACATGACTCTTGTAAATTCTGTGTATGGTTCGTTCCCACTGCTAGCCTCTAGTTTCCAAATTCCTCAAGAGCCAGCAAGGAACTGAGATCCCATAATACTTCCTGAAGCCCCAGTGCAATGAAGCACCCAGTGCAAGGAAGCTATGTCCTCTTGGGCACCCAGGAGTACCAAATTAGCCAACTCTTGCAATGCATCCAGGTTCCCTACAATGACCAAATCTCCAAGCTCCAGGAAACTGTAAAACAGAAGCAGGTATTCAGATGTTCTCAGATTCTCAAGGAAACCCTGTTATCCATGGTTCCCCAGGTTCTCTGGTTCCCCCAGACTCTCCAGGACTGCAAGAGACATACTCCTCTATCAGTCTGCAGCTTCTGAATCATCTGAACACCCAGCTCCAATCTAAGATGCAGACTCAACCCAGATTTGTGAATTCAGCACAGCTTCAACAGCAGCTCAGAGGCTACCAACAAATCTACTGGAAAAGTAAAGGAGGCTAAATCAGCTAACACTATTCCAGCCAGAGATGATGGTCAAGACTCCCCTGACACATGGGTCCAGCTTTTTATTTAATATATCTGTGAATTGGATATCTGTCTAAATAAAGTATCCCAAAGGAAGTTCTTTTACTTTTGATTTTCCTAAAATATTATTTTTCATTATATATACCAAGCCCAGTTCCCCCTCTTCCCTTTCTACTGCTCTTAACATCAAAACTTCCCAACCCCATCCACACCTCCAAGAGTATAAGACCTTCCTAGGGGGGTTGACAAAGCTGGCATACCAAGTTGAGGAAGGACCAAGCACTTCCTCTTTGTATCAAGGCTGAAAAGGTAATATACCCTAAGGAATGGGTTCCAAAAAGACAGTTCATATACATGGGATACATACTGGGGCCACTTCCGGGGTCCCTGCACAACAGATCAAGCCAAATAACTATCATCCACATTCTGAGGGCCCATACAGTCAACCACCCTTTTTTGAGCACTTCAAAATGCTCGAATTTTTCCAAGAACTCTTGGACTTGATGTTCCTGACACTACTGCCTTCAACTAACACAGTATAGGCCTCATAGGCAGTTACTATCACGCACAATTTGAATTTCTTTGCTGAGACAAAGCTTTAACTCTATGTTCCCCAGGATGGCTTTAATGTTCAGGGAACAGGCTGATTTCCTTCCCACATGTATGTTATTACAATTTGTGTCTAAGAATTTCGATATGAGAATATTAATTTTCCAGTGACTGTATTTTTGTTGTTTTCAATTTCATTTTAAAGATGACTGTTCAGTATGTGTGTACAATATGTAAAAATTTTGTGGATATTGTGAGAGAACATCTCTTCTTGTAGTTCAGGCAGGCCTATATATTTTACCTATCCTTCTGCACAAATTCATGAGATTCTGGATAGGAGAATTATGTTATTTTTACCTTATCTTTGAATCAACAAAGTGATTTAAATCAAATTCCACATATCTCTCATACTAGTTCATAATATCCACAACTCTGAGAAAATTAAAATCCTTGGCATTTAGAAATGATGCAGAGAAACATCACCATTTACAATACCCAAAAATATCTTGGAGTAACTCTAACAAACAAGTAAAAGACATGTATGACAAGAAGTTTAAGTCACTAAAGAAATAAAATGAAGAGGATATTACAAAATGGAAACTTTTCCCTTGCCTGTTGGTAGGTGGGATAAATATAATGAAAATGGCAATCTTGCCAAAAGCAATATACAGATTCGTTGCAATCCCCATCAAAATCACAACACAATTCTTCACAGACCTTGAAAGAAAAATAATCATCTTCATAAGCAAAACAAAAAAAACCCAGAATAGCTAAAACAGTCCTGTACAATAAAGAAACTTCTAGAGGCATCACCAACCCTGACTTCATACTTGACTATAGAACTATAGTAATAAAAACAGTGTGTTATTGGCACAAAACCAGACAGTAAGATCAAGCTAAAGGAATAAAAGTGCCTGACAATAATTCCCACACCTATGAATACTTTATTTTTTGACAAAGAATCCAAAATAGTAAAATGGAAAAAGGAAAGCATCTTCAACAAATGGTACTGGCATGCGTGGGTGAAATTTGGAGGACATAGATTATCACTGTCTCTGCTGAAGGTATGTTCATTTGTGTTTGGGTGAAGTGTTGTGAAAACTCATTGTCTCTAGACTCACAGCTGAGGAGCCTCCATTGAACCAGTGATAAATTAGAGGCCTCAGGTCTGGTTAGACCTAACACCAGCTCCAGCACATCTGTGCATTTCAGGCCATTCCTTTTTGGGGACATTTGAGACTGTGATTTGCCCATTTGTTCCTGAACCAGATCTAGAAGGATAATAAAAACAGAGGAAGACCCTTATGCCCAACCTAGGCTACAAGGTCTAGATGATGAATAAAGGGCTGGTTTTACCTGACACCCCCCCTTCAAAATAATTTTAGGAATCCTGATGCCAAGAAGGAAAGATTAAGAGAGGATGAGTATGTACTGAAATACCTAGGAATAAGATAACTTTAGTAGAAAGTTCAGGATTTCACTTGGAGACCTGTTAGCTTTGCCCATGTGATCCTATGGAACCATTGCATAGATCCAGAGTGTATCTGAATTGAATAGAATGTGCGGTTCAGCCCTGGGTGCAAATATGTCACAATCTCACAACTGTCCTTAGCTGCCCAAAGCAGTATAGCAGCACTGGGAGTTGAGTATTCTGGTTAACTATGCAGGCAGGGATCAGGGAAGGGGAGCAGATGGGAGGGTAACTAATCTGGCTCAGGAAAACAGGGACAAGAGAGAGTCAGATATGAGCTGCTTCGTTGGCACCTAAATCCTTTGTGGCATGTATGAAGCATTCCCTGTGATGACATTTCAGAGGAACTGGAAAACTTGCCACCCTGGAGAGTCTGAGGGAACTAGAGAACCTGGGAAACCATGGCCATCAGGGCTCCCTTGTAGACCTGAGGATACCAGAAGACCTGCTTCCATTTTCCTGAATCCCTGTGATTGGAGATCTGGCCACTGTGGGGGACCTGGATGCATTCCAAGACTTGGCTGCATTGGTGCTCCTGGGTGCACTAGAGGAAAAAAATTCCTTGTAGGGCCTGGATGAACATGGAGGCTTGATTGTACTGGGGCCTCTTAGGGTACTATGGTCTCTGAGTTCCTTGCAGGGTTTTGGGGCCTTTGGAAACATGGAGTCTAGCAATGGAAAGGAACCATACTCAGAATTTACAAGTCACAGGTACTTACTGTATGGTTCCCCTAGTTCCCTCTATATCTAACCTGGGAGTGAAGGCACCCTGTGGCAGGCAAGACCAAGTTATCTCACCCTCACCAGGAGCTTTATTGGCCAACTCACTTTGGATTTCAGCAGACTCTTCCAACTTGTCCAGAACACTCCTGGTGACTGAAGTTTTACTGGATCTGGCCTTATATTTCTCCTCCATCCAGGTTCCTTGTACATCTGCTTTCTTCTGGAAGGTGGTCAAGATGGGGTTTCTCATTATGCCAGCTCTGGGCTAGCCTGGAACTCGCTTTGGAGACTGGGATAGCCACAAATTCACAGAGATCCACCTGACCCTGTCTTTGCACCTCCAGATTTTATACCATCTGCGCTGGTTTGTTACATATCAAGTTGACACAATATGAAAGTAATTTTCTTAATTAGCAATTGATGAAAGAGGGCTGAGCCCACTCTGTGTCGTACCACAACTTGGCTGGTTGTCCTATGTATTGCAAGAAAGCAAGATGAGCCAGGGAGTGGTGGCCCATGCTTTTAATCCTAGCACTCAGAAGGTACAATTTCTGAGGCAGTAGGATCTCTGTGAGTTTTAGAACAGCCTGGTCTACAGAGAAAGTTCTATGATAGTCAGTGTCACACAGACAAATACTATCTTGAAAAACCAAAAAAAAAATAAGAAAGAAAAGAAAGCAGGCTGGGCAAGCCTTGAGGAGAATGCCAATAAGCCGCATCCACTTGTAGCCTCAATATCAGCTCCTGCCTCCTGGTTCCTGCCCTGTTTGATTTCTTATCCTCACTTCCTTTGATGGTGAACAGTGATATGGAAACATAAGCCAAAGAGCCACTTCTTCCCAAAATTGCATTGATCATTGAATTTAATCCTTACAATAGAGACTTTAACTAAGACAATTTGGTACACACACACAAACACACACACACACACACACACACAGAGATCGGGGGAGGGGTAGGGAGAGGGAGAAGAGAGGGGTGAAATTAAGAGTAAGCTTTTGAGAAAAATCATCAAATGAGTTTGCTATCATTTGATGTCAGCCATTGCTATGCCTGACATTACCATGTTTGGGAGAAGATTGTGAAAGGACTTTGAAACTTTGGATTAGAAAAGCATTGAACGTTTAGATCACTTTAACCTGTTTTGTCAGAGTGTGGAAGGTAAGGAATATGAGGTAAGATGGAGGAATGGCTTGGGAAGTTCAAGAAAGAACTTGAAAGATGCTATTCAGGGCATTTTTTATTTGGAGTGAAGATACTGTGGTTCTGATTAGTGTGGCCTGAAGAATCAATTGTGATTAGCAAGACACCAGACCACTAATGTGAAACACTTGCTTTGCTGGGATCCTTGATGCTAGTCAGCTGCCATTGAGAAATTAGCAGTGATGAAGAAAAAGCCAGCATCATTGAGGTGAAAGCTTCTAGAAACTTTCCTAACAGTCAGCACACAGAAAATTACCCATTTATTTTTTAATTTCCCATATGGTACAGTGTACATTTTAATGTATATTTTATAATTCTCTGGATTCCCTCAGTGTCTGGTCTGTTATGTCCCCCTTTTTCATTTCTGACTTTGTTAATTCGGATGTTCTCTCTCTCTGCCTTTTCAATAATTTGGATAGGGGTTTGCCCATCTTGATGATTTTTTTCTCAAAATCCTACTCTTAATTTTCCTCTCTCTCTCTCTTTCTCTCATCTCTCTCTCCCTCCTCCTCTCTCTCTCTCTCTCTCTCTCTCTCTCTCTCTCTCTCTGTGTGTGTATGTGTGTAGGCACTTAGTACTATGTAGCTATGCACTTGCCTCTTAAAACCACGTTCACTGTGTCCCTTAATTTTGTTATTGTTCTTCAACCACATGATGGCTCACAATCCAACCATATATAATGAGATTCAGTGCCCTCTTCTGACCTGTAGAGACATATGCAGACAGAACACTTTTTACATAATAAATAAATAAATAAATAAATCTTAAAAGAAAGACTTTGGGTAGGTTGCGTATTCATTTTCTTTCAAGTCCAGAAAGTCTTTAATTTTTTTATTTAACCATTTTTTCATTCAGTATAGAGTTATTCAGTTTCCATGAGTTTGTAAACTTGCTGGGTTTTTTTCTATTGTTGATGATGTCTAGCTTTATTCTTTGTGGTCTGCTAGGATGCAGGGAGTTACTTTAGTGTTCTTGTATATGTTGACCTGGATTTGTGTCAAATTGTGTGGTTAATTTTGGAGAAAATGCCATGAGATGCTGAGAAGAAAGTACATTCTTTTGTGTCTGAGTGAAATGTTCTGTATTCTGCAAATTATCTGGTCTACAGAGCGATTTCCAGGACAGGCTCCAAAAACACACAGGGAAACCCTATCTCTAGAGAGGAAAGAGAGAACAAAGATGAGAGAGGGGGGAGGCCTCTGAGTTGGTATTCTGATTTCTCTATGCCTATTTTCTTAGGTTTGGTATTTTCATAATCCAGATTTCCTAAATGTTTTGTCAAGAGAATTTTTGATTTACAATGTCTTTGAGTGAGATATCCATTTCTTGTCTGTTTGTTTTATTTGTTTGGGTTTTGGTTTTTCAAAAAAGGGTTTCTCTGTAGCTTTGGAGGCTGTCCTAGAACTCCCTCTGTCGACCAGGTTGCCAACAAACTCACAATGATCTTCTTGCCTCTGCCTTACACGTGCTGGGATTAAAGGTATGTGACACCACTGCCCAGCAGTTTGATTTTTTTCTCTCTCTCTCTTTTTAGAGATTTATTTATTTACTATGTATACAGTGGTATAGATGATAGTCAATGCTATAGGGAAAACAATATATTTATGTACCAGAGAGAGAGTCGCACAAGCTAGGAGTTAGAAGCGTGGCTGGCTTCCAAGAGAAAGAGCGGTTCCTTTTCCTTTCACTTCCTTTTGTATCTACCTGTGCTGATTTATTTGTCTCCACCCTTATGGGTGAATAGCTTTGTGGGGTTCACTCCTACAATTACACTTTTAGTCTAAACAAAAGATATAAATTTGATACAAACTCAAACATATGCAACATATATACATAGAGGGTGATAATCAAGTTATAGTTTACTTATCCTAAGCTAAACATATCCATTCCACCTAAATTCTAAACTTATCTGAAAGGGATGCCTAAGTCTGAACACCTCCTTCCTATCCCAACCCTAAAATAATTGCAAATTAACACTAACAGGTGTAAACTATCCTCTAATATCAATAGTAGGGAGAAGGGACATGGAGTTCTTAAATTTACTTCCTGCTGAAGTGGGATGATGACAATCATGGGGACCTGTGGGAAGAAATTGTTAAGTGTAACAAGAGTCTTAAGTAGGTTAATTAGTCTCTGTTTGGCAGGAGATGCTTGACTGAAGTTCTTGACTAGAGTTTTAATTTTGATTGAAGCTCTTATCTGAAGCTCTGATCAGATTGAAGAAGATGCACTGTATCAGTTCCTTGGTCTGGAGATGTATCAAGTGAAGTAGTTCCAAGCTGGTTTTACAATGGTGTTTGTCAGGTGGAGTCGATGATGTGGGGCAGTTCAGATGTATCCAGTAGAATCAGGCAGAGTTGGGGAAGTGAATCCACATTCTCTTTCTGAAGCAGTTGAAGATTGCTGTCAGGAAATCCCCTTTTCTCTGGAAAACTGAAATATTAATGTTAGCACAGAAAATTTCAACTCTTATATGTATGTATACTGGGAAAGGCAACCCTAAGGAAGATAATACACATGAAGGACATTAGAGTTTTAGAAAAAGAACCAAGTATACTCAGATGACAGTCCCTATATTTGTTTTCTTCTGTCTTATTTCAATGGCTCTTTGATATAATACAGAAAGTCTGAATTGTACTTTAAAAATATGCTTGGGTTTAAAGCAGCAGAGCCAATCAAACTCTAAAGCCAGCGTTAATTAGATGAATTGGGACTCAGGCATATTAAGAAGTGAAGAAAATAACAAAATACAGAGATTTACACATTGATAACACGTTGTATCATTGTATGTTTGTTGGTCCTCTGGGTAGTTATCCTTTCTTATTTAGGTATCCATAAACCTAGTATTTTTCACTGTTCATAACTAATTTTTCCTGTAAAGACACAAACAGAACACGTCTCATTCCTTTGATGAGGTCTCCTTATATATAGCAGTATATGGTAGAATATGACCTTGTAGATGAGCTATCATCTTTCCCACTCCTGAGGCGTCTTCTGTTCTGATCGAATCTTAATTAATTTAGATGGGACCCAAAGGTTTTCTTCTGCTGTGGAAACAAAAGTAAAACCCCTTCTCCAACTTAACACATATCCTGGTTTCCAGACTGAAGTCATAACGTCCTTAAAATACACTGGTTGGTTCAGTTCAGAAGTCTTCTCTGTAGTCCAGTGTCTTTCTGCTGCAGTTTGTTCTTTTTCATCAGCATTAAGAAAATTTAACGTTAGGAAAGCATTATGTAACCTGTGTTTGGGGATCTTTGTTGCCCCTGGCAGTTTATGAAGCATATCTTTTAAGGTTCGGTTAGATCTTTCAATCACTGCTTGTCCTGTGGGATTGTAAGTTATACCAGTTACATGTTTTATATCATAATATAGGAAAAATTCTTCCAATTTTCTGGAGACATATGCTGGAGCATTGTCAGTTTTTACAGTCATCACCTCTAAAAGGTGTGTAATAACAGAATCAGCTTTTTCAGAGCTGAGGGCAGTAGCCCATTGGAATCCTGAGAACGTGTCTATGGTATGGTGTACATATTTCAAACTGCCAAATTCTGGGAAGTGAAATACATCCATTTGCAAAAGTTCATTTCTGTGAACACCTTTAGAATTACAACCTGCTGGTAATGGAGTTTGATTGTAGAATGAACAACTGGGGCAATTTCTTACTATTTCTTTGGCTTGTTGCCAGGTGATAGAAAAATCCTTCTTTAAACCTTTGCTGTTAACATCTTGTTTCTTATGAAATTCTGAAACTTCCAACACATTACCTATTAATAAACGATCAATTTCATCATTGCCTTGTGCCAGAGGACCTGGCAGACATGTATGGGATCTGATGTGTGATATATATATATATATATATATGATGAGTCCTGTTTCTGATGGTTTCCTGTAATTGTAAAAACAATGAGGTTAATTCTGTACTATTAGGAACAAATTCTGTGGTCTCAATGTGCAAGACAACTCTCTCTGCATACTGAGAATCCTTGACTATATTGAGAGGCTCTGTAAAGTTCTTAAGTACTATGAGAATGACATATAATTCTGCCTTTTTACAGAGTTGTAAGGGCATTGAACTA